GCTGCAGGCTCACCACGTGGTGAGACAATAAATTGTTCGTGGACACGTAGAGAATGAAGGCACATGATGGATGATTGGGCCTAATAACTGTCATTTGAGGCCCACATCCAAAAAGGTGTTTTTTATTTGAACCTCCATGGGCCGGGACCATAGTGCTCTTAATGTCAACGTTTGTCGTGACGCAAGGAGAATTTAAAGTGGGCATCGTTGGGAATGAGTGAAATTCCGAAAATACCCTGTCGACTCTGTCGACATTGAGGAATTATCATGGCCAAAACAGGTGTCATTAGTCATAAGGGCGTGTTTGAATTCTCTACTCTAATTTTGAGTAGGATGTACTTTTTTTTTTTTTTTAAAAAAGGGCTTTAAGATTCACTTCAACAATTTTTTTCCAATAAAATATCATTATTTCTCGTTGATATTCGATGTGATAATCAAAGGAAGACATGTTATGGAACAAGGCCCAACTTCAGATCTTGTTTGGACAAAATGAAGATATTGTCAACAAATAAACCACTTATGGTTCATTAACATTTCAGAAATATTATGTCATAGTTAAGATTGTCAAATCAACTTCCAGTCGAGCTCTAGACATTTCATTCATTTGATGAATAACTATTAGTAAAACTTTCCTCTAATATCGATATCATGTACAAAGAGCTCACAAAGTAAATCTTCTTATATGTGATTAAAAAATAGTCATTACTATCTAGCGTTTCAGAACTCATACTCACGATAATTCATTTACGTAGTTGAGTGACTACAAACTCAATTTTTCACTAAAAATGACTTCAAATTTTACCGCTCACAACAAACACTCAAACCATGTTATGTACACATCACTTCTCAAGATTAGTCGAGCGAGGCTCGTGCACCTGAGTCACAAAAAAAGTAGAATTCACTTTTAAAACTAGCATATGAAGCAAAAATTTCACCAACAATAAGTGATTTTCAATAGAATTACTTTATCAATTCCCCCAAACATAACCTACAAAATGGGGAAGTGGGACCATAAAATTGCCACGTATTGGTTAGTAGGCCCAGCAAGAAATAAATGATCTTTGATGTGAGTGTGAACGTAGTATTTATGTGTAGCAATCAAAAGTCAAAACTGTGTTAAGGCAGTGTCATTAGTTCTTGTCTTGTCGGCTCATATCTACTCTAAATTACTATTTTATAAACTATATCATATAACCAATGAAAACTCAACACGCAATCATCGAGTTCATAATTTGACAAAATTATTGTATAATCGTATGTTCTTTATGTAGCTATAGATTTGTCTACATGATGCAGGCCACAAAGGTGGACTTTTTTGTATTATGATAAAATATTCTGTACTCTCCTTGATACATTAGATCAAGTCACGTAATCATGTTTTGAATAGTAATTTTTTGGAGAACGTGGAATTAAAAAGTGATTTATAGAAAAAATTACAATTATTTTTTAACCAGCATTATTTTAAAATTCTTTCTACATGTAAACCCCCAAAACAAGGTCTAAATACGACAAAACATAACCAAACAAGCAATTTGATTTTCTGTATTTTTCTAATTTTTTCCCATAACATCATTGGGTCTATATGAGGGTTTGACCTAAACTCGTACAGTCACAGGCGACGTGTACAGGCTCTAGTACATAATCATCGAGACATGCTAATTCGCGATTATTAGTGATTCCAACTTCATATTCTTGAGTTGTAAAAAACAATTCGAACTAAGGCAATCTTGCTAGATCTGCTCAGCCTTACAACCTTGCTTTTCATTGTAATAACCATTATAGCACGTGCGTATCCCACCTTCATCTAGTATATCATTGACAATCCTTGATGAGTTGTGTGCATTGTCTACAGAAATAAACTAATCGATACATATTTAAAATCCAAAGTTACAAGGGAGGAGAGGGAAAAAATTGATTTTCTTAACTTAAAACTTGATAATACTATTTCCATTACATCACGACTTCATATATGTTACAAGATGTAATTAAAATTATGCCCATATTTTATGTCCATTATTTTGAAAAAATAAAATTTTGAATAGTGATTTCTTTTTTTGAGAATGTGTGGTTAAAATGTAAGGAAAAATCTTAAATTTACGTGCAAATTATTTTATTGTGTAAATGTAATTGAAAATGGGAATGAAAATTAAAGAGTTTAGAAATAATAATTCTCAAACAGGGATGTGAATTTGGAAATACAAATCGAACACAACTTTATATTTTTATGCTTCTTTAGTTCAAAATATCAAACATGTCACTCGTGTCCTTACATAGCTATAAATAGTAAATACCCATGTTTAATACAACTCTAACCATTCTAAAGAGTTCAAAGAACAAACCCTTACAAAGCATTCATGCTAATGTTATGATGACTCGTATATTTCGAACAATACATCATCTCATTTCGCTTGATAGCTATTTGTCCTGGTGATGTGCATCTATAGATACAAATTTCTGCTTGTGCACGTGCACATGCCTACGGCGCCACACTATGTGCATACGTATGTACGCAAACACACACGAGTAGGGATGAGATATACTTCAACTTAAAAACGATCTACGCACAAAAGCACCCAATAAATTGTACATATCAGGCAGGCAAGCAAGAGTCAAAAATTTCTGCTCATGAACTCAGCATACAATGAACTTCCAAAGGAATGGTGCGGTTAAATGTCCAAATTGCATTGTCATATCAACTTGGTTCTATTTCATTGTGATGAGCAAAAATCTAAATGCATAGTTCACGTGAAGAAGACCCTTCACTATGTATCAACCACTGCATTGACAAATTCATATCTTATCTACACCGATATTAATGTTGATCTACATCGTCCGTCCAATTGTTCGTGCATGCACAAACTATGAATCACATCAATAAAACTTGATAACTTTACAATCTCTTTCAAGCAGGTTCACGCTTCAAATATGTTTCCAAAACATGTCACATATTTCTCTGAAATCTTGAATTTAGTAAGCTCAATAGTCAAAACCGCATTAAAAACTAAAAGTGGCTTAGAATTTCTAACCAGAACCAATTCACCAGTCCTCAATTGTTGACCCTGAGAAATGCCTGGCTACGTGAACTGCATGAAATTGTCCACGTATTAGCACAGAAACCAGTAATCGCTCACAAAAGATCAACTAGAAGTCAATTCACTTCAATGCTTTAGACAGATTAGTGTTCGGCCCAACAAAAAATCATCGGCAGATTCATATGTATATCGACATCTAATACCACTAACCGTTCTAAAGAAGTCAACAAGCATATTGAAACAAAGTATGCCACATAACAGTATTGCCACCAAGATTGAGACAGTATATTACATAACAGAAGCAGATTGCCAATTAATTTAATCAGGATTAAAAAGGAAATTTACCACAAATTAGCTTCTAAAGATATTAAATTTCACTTGAAAGAAAATAACTGAGGCTCAAAAATATTTAGGGAGTGAAATTTCTATCACTGTGTATCAACAAATCTAGAATGGCATGATTTTTCCGGAGGTCAGTCTAGAGGTGGGACTGAGGTTTGCGTTGGATATTTTCCAATCATTATGGATACTTTTACTATGAAATGGAGTTCAACTCCTTTCAGATTCAAAAATGTGAATAGGGCATCCAGTTTAGAGAGGGACTTAGGAAATGGTGGAGCCAAAGCAAAGACTATAATTTTTTTTTATAGATTCATGAAAAGGATTTAATAGTTCAAGAGTAACTCAAACAAGTGATGGAAAGTATTAAAAAAAGCAAGCACTTTGGCAAGATTGGGGGGATCAGAGCCATTTTGTGATAGCTTATGCTTCTGCATTGTGTATAAGAGCTTCGCGAGGAAGTCACATTGGGTTAGGTTTTGTTGGATTTTAACCGAAAAAGAATAGAGAAATCAACACAAGTATTTACGTGGTTTAGCGATGTGCATACATCCACAAGGAGCGAAGCGGAGATTTTATTCAATATGAATAATATGGTTACATCATTAGTATTTATACTAACCCTAGCCTTAGGGCCCGTACAAGAAAATACACATGTACCGTACAGTGGAGCGTTGCCACGCACCCCCAACCTATTCAACGCCCCTAGCAAACAAATAGTGAATTAAACCCACAAGCCGATGCCGTCACAAACTTGTGTTCCAATCTATATGAGTCACATATACAACAGGTTACTCTAAAAGCTCTTTCAATCAAACAAAGCACTTCAAAAAAATTATCGAAACATACCCCAAAAGTAGCTTTTGACTGTTCAAAAGCCATACCAAACATGCCTTTAGTTAAATTAGATGAAGAAGGAACTTAGAGGAGATATAAAGAGCGAAACTAAAATTGAAAATGATTTTAAGGAGGTTATGTATGAGGAAATGATGTCCCAGAGGCAGAAAAATTTGAACAAAATGGTTTCAGAGGAGCATACAAGATTGTTTCACATGTAGTGAGTTCAAGAAGGACTAAGTGTAATTCATCAGTCCAAAGGTGATTGAGGTTAGGTGTTCAAGAAGGATGAAGATATTGATAGAGAAATCCCTTTTTTCTTTTTTGGAGAAGCTATACTTAAAAAAAGCAAATTAATATAATTTAGATCATTTGAAAGGCATTCTTTAACACAATAACATGCCTCAGCGGCGATATGTTACTGACAACTATTATAACTGCAGCCAGGTTGTTGACAGCGTACTTCAAAGATAACAATTGACTATTTAAGTAGGTTTTGATTTTTTTTTAAAAAATCAAATTTAAGGGAAAATGTTAGGAACCAGTAATATTCTACTAATATCAGGTTATGATCAAATAAATGAAATGTACCTCGTGAATTATATGTGTGTCTAAATATATAGGATTCAACATTTTTGAACAACAAACCTATTCCTATAATCTCAGGGACAACTTATATCAAGGTCCAAAGAAATCAGAACTTGCCACCGTTGTATTAATCAACTATCAAAGAGAACCATTTACCTCCGCTCTTCACCACCATCGAGAGTTGACTGTTCTTAAGCCTCCAGCTCAAAATTCTCCAAGTAAAAATCTATATATCTCTTCTGCAACTATTTGGGGATACTCTTCTTGTGGCAGGAGAGCACCTGGTACCTCAACAAATTTGCTGACCCCTTTTGCTCCCCTGAGAGATTCCATTTCTGCTTTTGATCTCTTGGGTGCGCTTGCAGTCGACATAACTAAGACAGGGATATCTTCTTTTAGTCCTGCAAATAGTTCAACGAATTCCTCCCTAGAATTTACCGGATCGAGCAATCCAGTCATGAAAGCAGCAGGCACATAACGAGCGCCTTTCTGTTTCGTAAGTGCATATCTGCTCTCAACAATACTAGGAGTTACATTTTCAGGATTTGCATATACGTGGGATTTGTACTGGGATTGGATTGCCTTCTCATTGCTAACAAGCACATTGTACATCATCCAACCTACAGCAGGGGCCCTTAAGGTCTCTCTTAATAGCCCATACCTATAAAGTCACAAGTCATAAGGGAATAAATAAGGCTAATCAATAGCAATAAACAAAAAAAATTGAAGCTCAGTATCTTAGTTCAAGTATACAAGGATCTCCACGAGAAACTCGCAGCATCAAGCAAATGCATGGATGCAGTACGAATTTTTAAGCAAATTTCCAATTTACAATGAGAAATTACAGGTAGCACATATGCATAAGAAACTGGTTTCTCGCTTATGAGAATACTATACAGTCGGACAAAAAATGAAAATGAAAGGCATCTTACACAATGAAATACTTCTTATGAAGAACTTTCCTTATTTATTATCTGATTTATTATTATTTGTTTAAAAATGTATAATTCAAGGTTACCTTGATTCCATACTAGAATCTCTACCAAACACAATGGGAAGGGGACAAGCCCAGGCGGGTGCAACAGCAGCAATGGCTTTTGGCTTCACCAAACCCTTCTTTGCAGCACGAACTGCTATAGTTGCAGCACGCCCTCCCCCAAAGACCACACAGTCATTATCTGAAGTATGTAACATATCAGCAAGTGGTACTACTAATGCAAATGTGGTTTCATAAAATGACTACAAATAGCAAGAGGTATTAGTTATACCCTTTGATCAATAAAGGAGCTACATATGCCAGAAATATTAACATAATCTTGGAAAGTAATGAAAGTGTGCAAAATCATAGTGCATAAGAAGAATTGGTAGGGGAACTGGCAAGGAAAAAAAGAAGTGAGACATAATCTTTGTCAAAATAATACTTAAGAAGAAGGTAATGCATCAACCAGGATGCAACTAAACAAAAGAAGTAATAAAAAAATTAAAGAGAACAAAAATAATTTTATCTTTTATTATGTAATAGGTAAAGATTTTAGACAAGTCTTTGGGTAAAGAATCAGTAGTACACTACCAAAACTTCCTTCTGGATATCCCAAAGAATATTATGGAGGAGAAACAAATCTTTTCGTTTCTGATAACATTTCGTTCTTTTCAAGATTTGGAAACAAATGGCAAGGGTAAATACAAAACTATAAAATTTTCAATGGAACACATACATTCGATCATAGTCCAAAGTTCATAAAGTCCCCATTAAGTATCAAACTTGGTACCTCCAAAAAAAGGAACTCTGAAAAAAAAAAGGAATTTCTGAAAGCTTCTACAATTGGTTCCTCCAATAGAAATGGAACTGTGGACAATGGAATCAACCATTTTCTAGATTCCACATCATGGAATATTAAAGACAGCTAGAATCATCAGACTTTTTTAAGAAAAATAAACTCGGTAAAGTCTAATCACACAAATGCACATGAATCCACTCTCCATTGAGCTCAACCAGAGCCCTTTGTCAAACTAGACATTTCATTTCTTCTTCAGACACATCATCTAAGGGTCAATTTTGTCTCTATCTACCCCTAATCCTTCCATCAATATCAAGTTGCTTCATGTCAGGTTTTAATGGACTTCCTTTAACACCATCTCAAATTGTTTTCTATTAACTTATCTCCTCCGGGTTTGATAAACAGGATCATTTTCAAATCTGATTCCTTTGAATTCGTTCCTTTCATGTTATGCCATATTCATCTAAAATTTTAGTATTACAATGTTGATTACCTATGTTGCTCGGACTCGAGTACCGGTGTAGAATATAGGTACATATCTAACACATTTAGGATACAGGGACACGTCTTAAAAGGATTCAAAATTTGGGCAAGGGAACTTGGACACGTCTTACAGACATAATTTTTTTTAGAATTTTATATACTAATAATTTTAGATGTATTTTTCAGAGATATATAAATTATAAATTTTTTGTGGGTTACTATTGAGTTAACTAATTGAATTCTGTTAAGTGGAAATTACACAATTCCATACTTTTCAAAATCCATATTCTAAAATCAGATTTGAACTTTTAATTTTCAAAAATCAGATATTTTGAAATTAGATACATTATATAATATAATTAGATATTTTATTTTTAATTATTAAATATTAATTGTACAATTTTTATTCAAACCCTAATCAATTTCATCCAAATTTTCTCTCACTTCTCTCCATCACTCTCTCTACCTTATTCTCCCTGCTGCTCTCTCTTCCATTCTCCACTCTCCGCCGCTCTCTCTCTCTCTTCTCTCTCTTCACTTCTCTTTCGATCCCTCTCTCTCTCCTCTGACCCACTGTCGCAACCAGACAATCTGCGAAGCACCGTGGTGGCGAAGCACCTACTATGGTGGTGAACCACCAACGATCTGCGAAGCATCATGGTGGCGAAGCACCGGAAGATCGCCACGGTGCTTCGACAATCTGCCAACCAGATCTGGTGGCGATCTGCGAAGCAACGCGGCGATCTTCGTGAATCTAGTATCAAACTCTCTCGCTGGTCGTGTTGGGGGTGGTGCGGTGCGATGCGCGGCGGTATGTGGTAGTGGTGGACTGTTGCAGTGTGGGCATGGCGTTGGTAGTATGTGGTGGTGGTGAATTAGTGCAGTGTGGTGCTGCGTGGGGTTGGTGGTGGGATCTGGTTTTGGAAAATGTCGCAGACTGGTGGTGTGTATGCGCGATGGTGGTGCG